GCCCTCAGCGCGTGGTATCCCCCGTACTCGACCCACCCGGCGAGCCCGACGGCCTTTCACGCCACGGCCTCCGTTTCGCCCTCCCGTCCCGAGGCGCCGGTCGGGGACAGCCCCGCGTTCCCCCCGCGGACCCCTCCCCCTCCTTCCCCGGCGGGATGGGGATGGGGCCCCGCGACCGCCGCGCTCGCGGCCGCCGATCGCGAGACCGAGCACGCCGCGTGGCTCCTCACCGGCAGGGCCTGCCACGAGGGGGTCAAACGCTTCTTCCGGCAGTACCTGCGCTGGGACCTCGGCGACTGCCCTCTCCGCGGGCTCCTGGACGGCGCCCCGGGATGGCAAACCTCCCTGCGGCATCTCGACCCCAACGTGCTGAATGAGACCATCGACGAGGATGCGCCGCATCACCCCACAGGAGGAGGAGGAGGGGGGGGGGACGCCCCCAGGGGACCTGCCCTCACCCCTCAAACCCGGGCCACTTCTCTTCCCGGGGGTTACCACGCCGCGGGAGGGGACGACGGCTATCTACGCCGGGTTGTTGATGATCTGGTACTTCGCCAGCTGCAGTACGATGGCGTCCCACTGACAGCGGCTATGCGGGCGGAGATGGGCGAGATCGATACAACCGAGTTTACCACGGAGGTGGAGATCAAGGAAGGAATTACGCGGGACAAGGAGCTGGTGGAAGGAACCTCCACGCCGAAGCAATTTTCTAAAACCGCGTTTGGTCATAAACTAACTGCATGCGAGGAGGACACCCGAGGCAAGGACCCGGATCTCGCACGCCTCAAAAAGAACATCTTTTTAAGGAGTCCGCTACTTCAGAGCCAGGACTGCACTTTTCCATCCCCCGGTGTCGGTAAGGAGCTGATTTATCAAGAAATGCGGCGCGGTATCTTCTCCCCGGACGAGAGCGCCGTTGAGACGGCATCGCTTCTGGACCCGACAGTGGACATCTGCGACCGACTTGTCATGGGGCGGTTTCCCCATACTTACGCCTGGTTGAAGGCGATCGAGCGGGCCGTTGAGGCAACCCCATGCAACGATTTCGTGAGAGGCAGTGAGAATACTACAGAGCCCGACATCGAGGTGAACTGCGGTGATGATGAGGGTGGTCGGGATCAGAGCGGGCCGCCTGCCCCTCAGGATGATGGGCCGGAGGAAAAGAGCCCGACGCCGGAATATCAGAATTCCCCGGATTCTTTCGTCTCCGATCTTCACGGCGCGACTGCGGCGGAACACTCCGTGAGCTCGGCTACGTCGAATTCGACCTCCTTCTTAGCCGACAACGCCAATGACTTTCTTGATGAAGAGGAAACGGAAGAAGACGAAGAAGGGGGGGAGGAGGAAGAGGGGGGGGTGGAGAGGGAGAGAGAGGGGGCGACCATCTCCGTCCGAACAGACACCCATACAAGCAGCGCCACCTCCGAAGAATTTACAGATGAGGAGTACGTGAGTGAGGAGGTGGATGACGGAGGAGGCGGGCAGGATGGGCAGAATAGTCTTGAGCGCCAGGCTCACACCATAAGCGAAACACACAGCGCGTCCGAACCCGATGGGAACTCGACGAGCGGGCCCGACGGGAGGGGCTTTTTTTCCTTCCAAAGTTTATCTGAGGAGCGCCCTAGTGAGGAGGCTCATTTTGAGGCAGTCTCCGAGTCCCTTCCGGATCTGGATCTCGCACTCGAAGCGAACTCTGCAGAACCGTTACATGGACTCCGATCTTCTTCGAATGCCCTACGTGATTGGAACGATAAGGAGCACCCTCGTAAGCCTGCACCGTCACCGAGTCGTGCGGATCGCTGCCGTGAGCTTCGTTATCATATTTACGAGCGTGCTACGGTGCTATTTACTGATCTCACTTTGCTTAGTGTACTGCAAGAGATCGCAAAGATCTTCCATCACCACCAACACATCGCAAGGTGTCAGCTTCTCGCTGAGGGTGCTTTTGCTTCTAATGAGGAGTCGGGCAATGAGGCAAATGGCGAGAAAAACACTGCGGGTCCTAACGTCACCACCACAGGCCTGCTTTCGTCTTCAGCCGCGACCTGTGTGCTAACAGAGGCGGCAAGATTACTCCACGCCGTGCATAAAAGCGAACGAATACGCTCACTCAGAGGTGACGGTCACATCCTGGAGGACGGACCTGTGGACAAGGGCTTTGGGAAGCGTCCTCCTCCGCACTCTGGAACGCGGCTCCTTATCTCCACCGAGCAGACATTGAGTGCGTTGGCTTACCTCTCCTTGCTTTTTGAACCTATCCCTACTTCGTTTTCTACTGTTGGGAATGGAAAATTAGATCAGGACGCATACCTTCCCTACGGGGCGCAACCCCGTGCAGAGAAAGCGACGGAGGATAAACGAAAATTATCAGAACAAACCACAGACAGTGCCACAAGAATGCAGTTTCTCTACTGCGTGGCACCTTTTTTATTTTTGTGGGGTAAAAATTCATCAACGTCGACGAGTCATGTGAAAATTTCATTACACATTCCGAGCCACCCATCGCGTGGGGAATCACCGGCTCCGTTCCCCTTACCGCTTGCACCAGTTGTGTGGCTGGAGTCCGTTCACGACAGCCTTCTACATGAGCTCCATACAATGTTTCATTTGCACTACTTGTTGAAACGTATGTCCATGTTTGAGGTCCCTATTGACGAGACGCTCGGGGAATGGTTCGACCGCGGCCCTAGCAACTCACATTACCCTGAGAATGGCCTCTCTAGGATCGTCTACCCGATCAGCAAGGTTGTTCTCGGCGAGTTGGATGTGTGGAACGAGAGCCACCTCCTCCCGGTGCTCATGAACGTATCGTCGGACCACGAACCGGAGTCATCGCACCTCGCCGAGATCGACCCGTTCCGCCTCCCGCAGGCATTTCAGCTGGGGCAACCATTCGAGGCGGACGGCGCATCCGAAGACGTCGCAGACACCGAAACGGAATTACTCCCTCTGGTGATGAACCCCATCCTGCCTGTCGATGACGCCCGCAGGTCGCCGCGGACGAACCTGGTGTTTATGCCGACCTCTACGATCCCGGCCTCGATTGGGGTGCTGTTTGAGCGCATCCGGCGTCAGCGGGAGCGGGCCGACGGGGCCAACGCGCGGGATCCGTTCCTGAGTGAGGCCGGCGCCCTCATCTGGCCGTCCGAGGACTTGACGCCGCCGGAGGTCCGCCCTGAGCCCGAGCGCCCAGGAAGA